GGTGTAGAATAAAGAGCCCTGGACTGGATACTGGGCTCTCAGCAGAGACAGAGCATGAGTAAGGGAGGGGCAGAGAGAGGGGGGGAGACATAGAATCTGAGGCAGGCTCCAGGCTCTGAGCTGTCAGCATAGAGCCTGCTGCGGAGCTCGGGCTCACCAAATTTGTGATCATGACCTGAGTTGAAGTCGGATGCTTGACCGACTGAGCCACCCAAGCGCCCCGGGAATAAATTAAATCAAGAAGGGTGAGGATTTGATAAATAAGGAGACTGACAATCAAAGAGGGAAGGGACTGATCCTGGGTCACATAGCCCAGTGAGGCAGTGTGGGGACCAGGACCCAGGCCTGCTACAGCACCAAAACCCTTCTCTTGCCAACCTGGCCTCTTTTGTCTCTGAGACTGACCAATACCCTGCTCGTGTCCCAACCCCTGCAGGTTCCTAGGGAAAGGCAGTACCAGAGAGGGAATGGGCAGGGGACAGGACAGACACCCTGCCCGGGTGCCCCTTTTCACCCAGGGACTCCTCCCAAAGAAGCCTGTGGGAGAGGCACCGAGAACATCACGCGTTATTATGGAAATAAGAAAAGAAACTCCCTGCTAGGAGGCCAGGGTGGCAGCTCCCTCCTGGGGATATTTGCTGGTGGGGCAGACTTGACCTGGGCCCACCTGAGTGGGGCAGGAGAGAAGCAGAGAGGAATGGTAGGCTGGAAAAGACCGGAAATGGGGCAGCCTGCACACCTGCCATGTCCTGAGGCATCGCAGAGGAGAGCTGGGCTTGTGCCGTCTTCGGTACCCGCCCAAGAAGGCACCCCACCGCACAAGGGCCCCGTGACAGGATCCACGGGGGCAGATCCCTGCAGGGGGGAGCTGGGGAGAGGAGGCTATGGGGGAGCCAGACACCCACATCAAGGGGCTGTGGAGGCCAGGACTCCCTAGGACCTAAGAGCACACGTGCACGCCCAGCGGAGAGCCAGCATTCAGACACCTGCCACACTGAGGGCACTGGGAGCCAGCAGGAGGGGTTCACAGAGCGGAGTCCAGTCATGGCAGATTACATGGAGATCCTGCCTCTTGAGCCCTGATCCCCTCAGTCCCTGCATCTAGGCCTTAAACACAGGGAGGGAGGAATGAAATGCCAACACGTGCTACAACACGGACAGACATTGGAAGCACCACGCTGGGCAGAAATGGCCACATAGCGTATGATTCCGTAGCTATGAAATGCCCAGAACAGGCAAACCGTAGGCAGAATGTAGACTGGTAGTTGGGTAAGGTGAGGAGCCCATAGTGGCGGATGGGTGGGGGGCTTCCGATGGAGAGGGGATTTCTTGTGGGGGCGGTGAAAATGCTCGAAAACGGTTTGTAATGCGGACTGCACAACGCTGTGACCATACCACAGACCCACTAACGTGTACGCTTTAAACGGGTGGATTGCATGCTGTGTGGATGGTATCTCGATACGGCTGTTATTTCAAAATGGAGGTGGGTTTATTGGGGGGTGATAAAAAAAGTTCTGGAGATCGACGGGGGCGATGGCTGCTCAACACTGTGAGTGTACGTGATGTCACTGAGCTGTCCCCTTAACGATGGCTAAAATGATAGGTTTTATGTTACATATATTTTACCTCAATTTTTAAAAATAAAAATTTAATTTTAAATTTGAAAAAAAAAATGGAAGGGGCGGGAAGTATCCCAGAACAAGACTGTGTACTCCCAAATCCTCTAAGGTACTGGAGAACCCATTGCTCCCCCACCCATGCTGCACACACACACACGTGCACACTCACACGCGCACACACACACACACACACACACACTCCATATCCCATAAGTCTGTTATCTGAAAACAAAGGAAGGGAAAGCTTTGAATTGCCCCTGGGATTAGGATCTCAAACAGATGGCCGTGTAATAACTGAATGTGACCACAACACCCTGGGATCTGCCACTGAACAGTTGGGGCCAGTGACTGCAGAAAAATGGAACTGTTTGCTGTTAATACCCCTGTAATCAGGTTGCTCATTAAACTGACTACAGATGCTCAATGTCAGCTCCCCCTGGAGCATAGACTCCTTGAAGGCAGGGACCACTGGGTCTGGCTCGAGCCCAGGGCCCAGCACAGAGCCGACACATCGTGGGTCCTCAGTCAACATCTGACGTACGGACAAAGAGCCTCCTTCATTAGACAGAAAAGAAACTGAAGCCCAGGGAGGCCATGGCCCTGCCCAGGGCCGCATAACCAGGGAAAGATGGCGGCCAGGACCAGAACCCAGATTTCCATCTCCTGCGGCCCAGGCCCATGACGGGCAGGGCTGGATTCCACGGGCAGCCCCTCCTCCAGCTGTGCACATCTGTTGGCCTCAGTGGGATGAGGCAATCACCCAGGAGCCTGGCCAAGGACTCAGATGTACAGGACAGAACAACAGGAGGCACTTCCAATGGGCGGGGTTGGCAGCTTAGGGCCAAGCCCGGGGCCCCACAGGGCTGCCTCCTCCTGCCTGGCTCCGGGAGCTTCATTCCGGAGGCCACACCTCACCCTGTCACCCGAATTCCTCCTGGCTGGGAGGCAGGAGTCCTGGGATCCTCCTGGAGATGATGAGTAGTCTGCTGCTCCCAGGGGGGGATGAACTCAGCAGGTCCCTGCCCCTCCCTGGGTCTCAACTTCCCCTTCAAGGTACTCAAGCTCCATCCAGTTCCGTGAGTCCCAATCTGCATGGCTCAGCGGACACTGACCTCTGAGAACACTCAGCCCTGCCTGGTTTGAGGGAAGAGACATCCCACCCTGAGATGCTCCAATCCAAGGGGGGAGACACAGCCCTGCGCACACAACCTCCTGACCTGTTGGAAGAGGTGTCACGTCACTGGAAGGTTCCCCCCAGTCTAAGAGGGAGAGCATCTCAGATTCAGGAACTCCTAGTCTGCTGGGGGAGACCTGGGCCACCCGCAGGAGGCCACCGGTCAGCCCCTCAGCACAGAGCCCGCCTTGGATCCTCTGTCCCCTCCTCTCTCTGCCCCTCCCCCACTTGCTCTCTCTCAAAAATAAATAAATATCAAAAAAAAAAAAAAAAAAAAGGAAGTGCCCAGACTGGATAGGCTCCTTCCACCTGTGCAAGGCCCAGAGCCCAAGGCTGGCCTAAATTTCAGACAACTGCTCTAGAAACCTGGCTCTGAGCCGTCTAGCATCCATGGTCCTGCCTGGTCCTCACAGCACCCCCTGAAAATCCAGGTTTATTAATGCTGAAGAAACCCAGAGCTTGTCTCCCCAGCTGTCAGATGAGGTTGGTAAAAGGAACACCCTTCAAAAGAGAACTGAGAAAGAGTAAAGGTAAGGCAGGCAAAATATTAGCACGGTGCCTCGCCAAGGGGAGCATTTGCTGTTGTTTTTTTTTTTTAATTTTTTTTTCAACGTTTATTTATTTTTGGGACAGAGAGAGACAGAGCATGAACAGGGGAGGGGCAGAGAGAGAGGGAGACACAGAATCGGAAACAGGCTCCAGGTTCTGAGCCATCAGCCCAGAGCCTGACGCGGGGCTCGAACTCACGGAGCGCGAGATCGTGACCTGGCTGAAGTCGGACGCTTAACCGACTGCGCCACCCAGGCGCCCCGTGCATTTTCTGTTTTATGGGTTCTTTCTTCCCTGTTCGGCATTCAAACCCTTTGCTTGTTTGGGGGACTACCTCATGGGGTGAACCCTATAGGGCGGCAGCTGTCGTCCCAATGCCGAGGCTGACCCTCTCGCCCCATCTGCCAGGAGCAGGCATGTGACCTGACTCGTCAGTCAGGAGCCCGCCCTGGATTTGGGGATGACTACGGTGCTGCAGAGGACAGCGGAGATCATTCGTGGGGGACAGCCGCTGCGCCCAGGCCGTGACACCAGCGATGGGGGCCCCGGCAGCAGCATCAAAACCAGACATCTCCAGGGGCCCCTTGACGCGTCCTAAGCTGCCAGCCTCCTCCGCCACCTGCCCTTTCCTGAGCCCGGCTGGTGCCCTTCCAGCAAATTCCTGCTCTGCTTAAATCAGTGAGCGTCAGTTTCTGTTGTTTCCACCTAAAAAAACTTGACTGGTTTAGAAATTGGTCCGAGGGGGTGGGTTTCAGACAACACACCCTCAGGGAAATGGGGAAGATAATTATCTGGTCTAGCTGGGACTGAAGGTAGCAAAAATCCAGTTAGTATCCAGGGACGAGAATCTAGCAGGCTGTGGTATGTCGTGGTGAAACAGCTAATTAAATTAAATTAATGAATTACATTATGGCCTGTGGCCATCTGGAAAAAAGTGCCATTGAAGGCATAGCTTGGAGGGCCTGAATTGCTCCTGCCATTGAACACATGAACGGCACAGAGACCTTAAAGATCGGGCGGCCGCTTCCATGAGACTGGACAATGAAAAGAATAACAGCTTCCATCCCTAAATTCTTGGCTCCGGGCGGGCATGGACTGGAGCCTAGGAACTTCTTTTTTTTTTTTTTTTTTTTTTTTTTTTACAGCCGGGCTAGGAAATTCTCTTATCTTTTACTGCAGCAGGTTTAAGTGTGAGGAAACCTGAATGCAAACATGACCTTTGGCATTGCCAAACTACAGTGGCAGCTGGGTTCACAGCCTCCTCTTCCTCTGCCGCATTAACGCCCACGGGTCAAGGCTGGTCCCCGGGTCCCTTCTCGCTCCGCACCCTGCAGCACACGGGATGTATTTGGCTGCAGGTGACTGAACACTCTGGGAAAGAGGAAGCTGGGGGGGGCGGGCGGCGGTCCTGGGCAGGGCACAGTCACCAGCAGCTCCCAGAGCCCTCGGGGCACCCCTGCTTTTCTCTCTCAGTTCTGCCTGCCTCGGGGTCGGCTTCATCCAGCGGTGCTGGAGCTGGCTTAGGCGGGCTTGCAGGTGCTCTACGGCCCTGCGTTCAGGGACGTCCTGTTGGCAGCTTGCAATTGGCCCTGAAGGGGATATTTACACCGTGGAAATCCACAAACGCTACAAATCGGCGCCTTTCTCCCTTTTTTTTTTTTTTTTTCAGTTGGAAAGGTGGGATACCAGCACAGACAGGCTTCCTGCTAGGTCTGGTTCCCTAAGGGGTGGCAGTGGGGCCACGTGCTTCTTGGTGTATGTCCTGAAGACGGAGAGGGGGAGAATCTCGCTCCCCCGACCACGGAACCAGGTCAGCTTTTCAGCCTCGCTGAGCACCGGAACCTGGGGGAGTGCCATGACCCGACTGGCGGAGTCTCACCAGATCCCGCTCTGGAGCTGGAGTCAGGTCAGCTGCCCTGAAGGGCACAGGCTGTGTGGAGGGCAGGTCTCTGAACAACATGGGGCCTTCAGGGAACGAGGAAAGAGGGAGTGGAGATGATGGGTGGCACCTGTACCCGCCACCCCGTCTTAGGGTGCCCACCCACAACCTGTGGCTTCACTACCAGAGCCAAGTTCCCGCCCAGATGCGCATACCTGACCAGCCCTGGAAATCTCCACTTGGATAATAAGAAAGATAATCCTGGGGCACTTGGGTGGCTCTGTCCATTAACCATCCGACTCTTGATTTTGGCTCAGGTCATGATCTCCGAGTTCATGGGCTCCCAGCCCCGCTCTGCTGACAGTGCAGAGCCTGCTTGGGATTCTCGCCCTCCCTCCCTCTGTTCATCGCTCCCTCTCTCTCTCTTTCTCTGTCTCAAAGATAAATAAATAAACATTTAAAGAAGAAGAAGGAGGAGGAGGAGGGAGAAGAATGATAATGCTAACAGCTAATGCACACAGCGTTGGCCACCTATCAACTCATCTAATCACAGAACAGCCCTTTCAAGGTAGGTGCCACTGTTGCCCCCTCCACAGATGAGGAAAATGAGGCTCAGAGGGGTGGCATAACTTGCCAGAGTCCCCAGTGGTGGCACTGGGATGGGGAACCAGCCCAGCTACCCAGCTCCAGGTCCTGGCTCCAGAACTCCACTCCGCCCTGCCCCCCCCCCACCCCGCCCAGGAGCCTCAAAGTCACTGCCTTCTCTCCAAACCTGCTTCAAGCCCTTCCCCTCCTCGTAAAACTCCAACCTCCAACTCAACATTCAGGTGTCACCGAAGGCATCTCTGTTGTAGGAAGCCTTTCTAACCCCACGCCAGGCCAGACGCCCCCTCTATGGCCGGCACAGTCATCTCTGCTTCCCCCACTGGAGTCCCCAGAGCTGGGCCTTGTAACTGTCTGGCGTCTTGTCCGTTTCCCGTGAGGGCGGGAAATGGGTCCGACCCCTCTCCACATGCCCGGTGTCCTCAGCGGGACCAGTCCCCTCTCCTGCCGCCCCACTTCCCCAGCTGGGTCTACTTCACACGCTCAGCACGGATTTCCCCACCTCCGCTCCTCTGCCTCCTTCCTGCTTTACTCTTTTATTAAGATTCTAATTAAATAATTCTAATGAAATGTAATGAGCTGAATCGACAAACTTACTGCAATAAAGCAGCATTCAAGACATTCTCTCTCCTGCTCTCTCTCTGCGGCAGTGCAAGTGAGGAGGCATGGGGCCTTTACTGCCCCGGGGGACCGAGCGGGGCTGGGACAGACACAACGCCCCATCGTCATCATGGGCCAGAAACACTGGCCTGGCACCCCCAGCCCGGCTGAGGCCTCCCCTGACAGAGCCACCTTGGGGCACCACGCTGTAGGCAGAGATCTGCCTGGACCTCACCTTCTGGCCCTCTTCTGGTCTATGTCTCAGGCCAGCCTCGATGCCTCTGCCCGATGGCCCCACATTGCCTCCTCCACACCAGGACGGGCGGCCGAAGGCTCTAGACCGATCGAGGTTTGCTAAGTGCATGGGCAGCTGCCCTTCGGCCCTGCTCTCTGAAGAAGAAGAAAAGCCTGGACCTGAGTCTGGCCCCGGCCCTTCAGTGTGGCCTCTGACAAGTTCCTTCCCTTCTCCGGGCCCCGGCCCAGTGTTCGCCAACCATCAGGCTGGTATTGGCATGAAGGAGCTTCTGTGAAGCAGAAAGAGCACGGGTGTGTTGAGTTAGGCCCGGCCTCATACCCTGGTCCTGGCCCTTCCCGCCTGTGTGACCTGAGGCAAACTTCATCTCTCTGAGCCTCAGTTTCCGCATCTATAAAATGGGACCAACATCACCTCCTCTGCAGAGCTCTTGTGAAAACTGCATGAAAACAAAAATGAGGCACAAAGCACTTGATATGACCACGAAGTATCCCAGTCCATCTCAGAGCTTTCAGAATCTTCTAAATCTGACCCACCTGCCTTCCCACCCCGGGTGAGACCAGACCAATCAGCTAGTGTGGCACACAGCACCCTCGTGGCCTCAGGCACGACTTTATATCCCGCCCGGGCAGCGGCCCCAGTTACAGCATCCTGTGAACTTGTTCCCGTGCCTGACCTCACAACCTCCCTGCACACGAGGCAGAGATCCATTCCTGGTCCCTTTTCACAAAGACAAGGCTCACAAAGGGGGCAGTGACTTGCTCAAGTCACACAACTGGACAGCAGGAGTCAGGACTGGAACCCGGGAGCTCTGGCTCTGACACCAGTGAGCCACTAACCGCCATCTCCCCCTCCAAGTGCCCTGTGGCCCAGGCCGTGAGACCCAACGGCCACGGAGGCAGGCAGGGGTGCGGAGGAGGACGGGGAGAGGCCGCGGAGCAAAGCTGAAGAGCGGCGCCCCGGTTCCTGGGCTGCTCCGGGCTTCCCCGGCCGCCTGGCCTCCAGCCTCGGCCTCTGCCGCCAGGCAGAGCAACACAGACTTTGGAGTCAGGCAGACCTGGGTTCGAGTCCTGGCACTGCACCCGCTTGATGTGTGACGCGGCCACCGATGGCGCCTCTGTGAGCCTGGGTCTCTTCACAGGGTTCGTGGGCGGGGTGGGGTGTTTGTATCCCCAGAAAAAACGGAGGGCATTGGGGCTGCTGTGGCAAAGCACCACAAACGGGGTTGCTTAGAACAGAAACGTATCGTCTCGCAGTTGTGGAGGCCAGAAGACGGTGCTCCGTCTGTCACCTGCAGGGGAAGGACCACGCCTTGCCTCTGCCAGCCTGACTGCCCTAGAGTTCCCCGGCTCACGGCAGCGAGGCTCCAGCCTTCACAGCGCTCTCCCTGTGTCTCCTCCGTCTTTCCTCTGCGTGTGTCCGTCCTGTCCAAATTCCCCCTTTGATAAGGGTATCAGTCACATTGGATGAGGGCCCACCCAAATGACCTTGTTTAAACTCAGTTACTGCTGTAAAGACCCTATTTCCAAATAAGGCCACATTCTGGGGCGTCTGGGTGGCTCAGTCGGTTGAGCATCTGACTTCGGCTCAGGTCACGATCTCACAGTTCGTGAGATCGAGCCCCATGTCAGGTGCTCTGCGTGGAGCCTGCTTTGGATTCTCGGTTCCCCCTCACTCTCTGCCTCTCCCCTGGTTTTTCTCTCTCTCTTGCTCTCTCTCCCAACAAATAAACATCAACTAAGGCCACATTCTGAAGTACCGGGGGTTGGAATTTCCATGTATCTTTTTGGGAGGGCACAAGTTGACTCACGACAGGATGCGAAGCCCTTTCGTACACATTTGATCCTTACAGGCAGGCCGGTGTGAGTGTCCTCATGTAAGATGAGAACACGTGGAGGCTCACAAGGTCACACAGCGAAGGACTCTCAGAGCCAGGGTTTGAACTTCTGTCCCCTGCACCTGGTGCTTTTCCACTACCTTCTTTAAATTTAAAATGAGAAAACAGAGTCCCGAGCTACCCTTTGGGGTCAGGAGCTTGATCCTGAATAGGATTTGGCCTCAATAATAACAACTACCACTGACCAAACACTGACCAGGAGTCAGGCACCCTGCCTTCTCCTCTCCCGTCTCACGCTGCTGCTTTTACAGCCGGACTACCTGGCCCAAACCCAGACTCTGCCCATTCCCAGCAGAGCGATGGGGTCAGTAACTGCACCTCCCCAGGCCTCGGTTTCCTCTTCTGTGAAATGGGGACAGCAGCCATTTTAGAGGGTTATTGTGAGGAGTAAATGCGGTGGCTTCACGAAGAGCCCTTAGCACACAGGGAGTGCTCACTTAGACCCCACAATAACACCCTGAGGTGGGTCCCCACTCCACAGATGGGGACGCAGCAGTCATCCGACCAACGTTATGAGGTAGGAGGTGGCAGAAATGGGATTTGATCTCAGGTCCTTCGGAGTCCTAGCTCTGTGTCCTTTCCACAGTTAGTGCTGAAGACGTACGTGGCTTTTCCTGAAGGCCCTCGGGTTTAGGAATCTGGCTATTACTTAAGGTTGGCAGGGATCAAACATCAGTCTTCCCGACTGGGTGGAGGGAGCCCTCATCCATCTTGGTCACGGGGGGAGGAGGAGGTCTCTGGGTTTACAGCACGTGGCTGGGAGTCCTCCCTACTTCAGCTGAGACCCCCAGGGGGCAGACCCTCGACCCAAGTCCCCAAGAAGCACACGCCAGCTCTGCCGGGTCCCACGGGCCATCTGTTTTGATTCACTATAAAAACTAGAGCTGAGCTCTGTGGAAATGTCAGGCAAGCAGGGGGCCCGGACAGCGAGTGAGCCAAAATCAAAGACATTCCCTACTGCTGCCCCCTACAGACAAGCAGGGACCCACATACATGCACAAAGGGATACACACGCCCGCTCCCCGCTGGACTCATGTGTTCCCAGGCTCACGTTCGGGTATGCACGGGCCTGACCTCGGATGACCGTGGTACCCCTGGGGCCCTTGCACCACCTTTGCGTGTGGCCTGTCTGCACTCTCGTCTCTCCCCGCACAGAACTTCCTCATGACTGTCTTGCTCAGAAGCCGGTCGAAGTCCCCTGCCATGGAGGCCCCACACACCTGACCTGCTCTCGGACCTCGCTTCCCAGCTTTCCTCTCCAGCCACACGGATCTTGTTCCTTCTTCTGTCCCTGACACATTCCACATTTCTGCCCGCCTCAGGGGTTTTGCACTTGCTACAATGCCCCGTCCTCAAATACGGCCGCAAGTTTGGCTCCTTGCTTCCTGTAGGTCTCTGCTCAAGGTCCCCTGCCCACCCTGTCGCCCATCCCCTCGCCCTGAGGCGAGCATCTTCGTAGGACTGAGCACCAGAGACTGATTCATATTTGCAGGGGAGGGGGCTCGGTGTCCCCTCCCCATAGTGAAACGTCAACTCCCGTTTCCTGCCATGTTCCAACCACCTAGAACCCTGCCCGGCATGCGGGGGTACTCGATCAGTGGTGAGCCCAGCCAGCATCCAGGGGCAGAGGCCGGGCTCACGTGCAGACAGCCCTGGGGTGCGGTCCTCGTTCTGCCATTTATCAGGTCACTTTGCCTCTCAGAGGCTTGGCTCTCACAGGGCTGTCACGAGGATTAACGATCCCGTGTGACTCTTGGTGCGGCACCTGAGGGGGGTCAGTGTGGCAGGTAGGTTTTTTCTGGACTATCCACCCCCCGGAGTGCAGGGTGGGAGGGGTGCCAGGTGGTCTGGTGGCTGTTCAGCACCACTTCCCTTCTAAATTTTTTTCGTTAAGTTTATTTACGTTGAGAGAGAGAGCACGGGGAGGGGCAGAACAAGAGGGAGAGAATCTCAAGCAGGCTCTGCCCTGTCGGCCCAGAGCCCAATGTGGGGCTCAAACCCACAAACCATGAGATCCTGACCTGAGCCGAAACTGGACGCTTGGCCGACTGAGCCCCCCCAGGCGCCCAGCTATGTGCCCTGTTGGATCTCAGGGCTAGAGGCCTACAAACCACTTTCCCACCTCCCTTTGTGAGCTGACCCCAAGCAGCTTCCGCCTGTGAGACCGGATCACATGAGAGCCGCAGGAGAGGGGGCGCCAAGATCCCTGACAGCACTTCCCTCGACCCCAACCTTCCCCGACTCCCAGAGCCCTAGCTGGGGCCTCCTTCATGCCCCTAGCCCTGCCAGCGGAGTCTCTTTATCAAGAGATGTATTTCCTACTTGAAACTGCTAGCATAGAATGTTTCTTGACTGAATCCCGAAAGGACAAGGAAGTTTCTCAAGTTTTCCCAGAGGGCATACTTTGATGGTGGGGACAAGCCGGACTGTGCACTCAAGTGGCATCAGGGTAGAAGGTGGGGGGACACGACTCATCTCCTCTTCCACTCTGCCGCCGGGAAAGGTGGGGTGAGCCTCTCCCCTGGGCTGAGTGAGGCTGGTCTTCCCCACCCCAGCCTCGCCCCGCCCCCAGAGCCGCCCTCACAACAAGGACAGAGGGACAGCGCCAGTGGATGGTGTTTTCGGCACCTTATGATACAAACTAGTCCTTAACTCATTCATTCCTCAAAACGCCCTGGCTTGGACAATACTGTTATCATCCTACTTTCCCCGACAGGGAACCGAGGCCCGACTCTGACGTCGTTTACGCGGCTAAGAAGTGGTAAAGCTGAGATTCGGGCCCAGGCTGGCTCTAGAGGCTGTGCTCATAACCACAGCTCTTGGTTCTCTCTTTCAGGGCTTGTGAGCCGGCAGCTTGAGCTGCAGATGAGACCTCGGGGCTCGAGGAGGGGCCGAAGAGGTGATGAGTTGACACCCACGCCACGCCTGGGAATTCACCAGGCCCTTTCTCCAGCCCTTCTTCTAATCTTTTCCACTTTCCCAGAAGCCCCCGGGCCTCGAGCACATGGTCCTTCCCAGCGAATGTGGGGAAGGGACTTCTCTTTCCTCCCTCTGGGGTGGAGGATTGAGCAGGAAAAAAAAAACACAAAAAAAAAACAAAAAAAACTATGGCTGGAATATCAGCTCTGCTTAACTTCCCACACAGCTTGGGAAAGTCCAGTCCCTCTGTGGGCCTCAGTTTCCCAGCTATAAGCAAAGTGGGTGGGCTGGAGGACCATTAGGGGCTCTTCTGGCACTAACATTCTAGAATCCCGCTTTGAAGACATTTGGAAAACTAAGATGTCTGGTCAGGGCAGCGAAGCAGACCACACGTTTTACCAAACCAGGCTGGGCTGTGCGTGGCGGAGACTAAGAGCACCAAGTCCGGGGCACCTGGAGAGGTCTGTCCTAGGATGGGTTTGTCTCCAGAACAGATACCCTGCCAAATGGACCATGGTGCCCCAGAGGCAGGTCTTACCTGCTGATCCAGGGTGCCTCCCCCTTCAGGGTCCTCATTAGGAAGCCAGGTTGGCTGACCCCCTTTGGATGAGCTGACTCCAGTGAATGACAGCCACTGTGCCAGGTGCTATGCTGAACACTGGGCCCACAGGTGTCTCAAACACGGGCTCTGGCCGCCCAGAGCTCAGGGTAGCGAAGGCAGTCTCCAACCTTTGTACCCCCCCTTCAAGACCCAGCAGGAACGCTCCCCTCTTCCAGAAGTTCTTGCTGGCTTCCTCAGCTCTGACTTCCAATGTCCACCTGGTGTGGTGCAGACCTGGCCCATGCCCAGCTCCCTGGGGCATCGTGACCCACAACCCCTAGACTGTGAAGCGATCAGGACGGGCTCTCGTGGCCCCACCCCACGCGGGGGCTCAGCAGGTGCAGTCAGAATTGTTGCTTGGCAACCAGGACTTGTGACACAGCTCACATCTGTCCAGGCTGGAAGCACTAACCTGATCCAGCATCTGTGTGCCGAGTGCCTGGCTCAGAATGTTCCTAAGGAAGCAAGGTATCATCCAAACGTTCCAAGTGACCCACAGGGAGGTAGGGCCTTTCCAGGTCGGTGGAGAACACACAGGCTTTGAATCCCAGGCCTGCCTCTTACCACGTGTGGGAGGCTGGCAGGCCACATAAGCTCAGCGAGCCTCAGTTTCATGGTCTCTAAAATGGGTGTATAATGCCTACTAGCCCAGTCACTGTGCAGCCGCTTCAACTAGCTGATGTGTGTAGGTGCTACCAGTGTTCCAGAGCTGTTTTCCCCTTCCTGGTTCCTCTGCGGCTGCCCTGCACCACCAGAAATGCGTGCAGTCTGCTGTCAGAGGAAGCCTTCCTCCTCTCAGAGACCCCCAAGCTCACTCTGGCCACCCCTTCCCTGCCCGCCACAGGCTGGGCAATGCCCACTGGGGGGTGGGGTGGGCACTACCTGGCGCTGACGTGAGGAGACACGGCTGCCAAGCGTTCAACTGGGCATGTCCAGAGAAGCAGCCCCACAGGGCAGCTACCTGGTTACAGGCAGGCAGGATGTGTTCGGACCAGTCTGGAAGATGGCCCCTGTCCCAGACCCTGCCACTCTGCCCGTGGACGCCCCCACTGGCCAGCAGCTCTCATCTGTCCCCTGGGAGAGGCTGCCCATTGCTGGGTGCGGGCGGCTCGGCTTGGACTTGCCCTTCACTCCACAGGATGGGTAGTGTCGTGTAAGTACACAAGCACTGCAGTCGGGCCACCCCCCCGGGGTGCGAATCCAGGTCTGCTCCTTACTGGCCGTGACTTTGCTCAACTCATTTATCCTCCCTGACCCTCAACTTGTCCCATCTTGAAAATGGGACCGCGACCACCCATCTCCTAGCACGGTTGTTACAACCAGTATCACCAACGTTAGGTGTAAAGGACCTAACAGGGCCTGGCAGGTATCCAACACTGGAGAAAGGTTCACGTCCTCTAACACATAAAGGGGCCACCTGCTGTGATCTGTATACAGGCGGTGGCAGTGGGGCAAGGCCAGACCCCAAGCCATAACTGAGGGCATGGAATCCACCCCAATTCCTTATCTGGGCTTGTTGAGAAGTCCTTGGAGAGGTTTAACTGGGATGGTATCTCCTCCTGGGAGAGGAGACCTCAACACCCACCCGGTGAAGCTGAAGGTCACATCAAATCTGAAAGGCGACTCTGTTCTTCCCGGCTTCATCCGTTATGCATGAAAGAGCAGACGGCGGGTGCTCAGGATTCATAATCTGAGACATCCGGAGACTAAAGGCACTGGCCAAATTTAAACCGAAAGATGAACTTGTTGGGTGTCTTTTCAGATTATGGGAGAAGAAGAGAGGAGAGAATTTCTTAGTCATCTACGATCCACTCAGAATTCACAGTGAGTCTGCCTGACCGGCTGACATCACAGGGACCTGTGAACCACCTCTGGGTTCCAGGCATTTTAAATATCACTGTTTGGAAGGGACAAAGGGATAAATGTTGGACACCCCCACCGGAGCCTGAAGAGAGGGGCCTTTCTGTGGCAGACACCGGGGGCCTAACAAGAGGCTAGGAGCAACAGGACTACTGGTGTGGCTCCAGGGAGGTCAGGATGTGGTGGGGTCAAGGGTCAGACAAAACTGAGTCTGCCCTATGGTTCTGCAAAGTACTGGGCACATGACTGACTTTCTCCCCAGCCTTAGCGCCTGCAGCAAAAGAGCTAAAAAGCACCTGGGCTCAGATGAGGTTACGTTTAGCACAGCACCAGGCACATAGTAAGAGCTCAGTTAACAGCAGGTGCCTTTGCTATCCATTTTACTTGGACTTCCTTAAATGTACTTAGCCCAGGGGCACCTGGGTGGCTCAGTCAGATTCCAACTCTTGGTGTCAGCTCAGGCTTTGACCTCAGGGTTGCAAGTTCAAGCCCTGCATTGAGTCTTGATCTCTGGGTCATGGGCTGAAGCCACAGATCAAGCTCCACATTGGGTGTGGAGCCTGCTTAAATGTATTTGGTCCAAATGCCTTTTGCTCTGAATGAGCTTTGAGCCGTCTCAGTAGCCACAATGACATAATGGTTCCCCCCGAGTCTCACAAAACCCAGGGAGGGTGGGGGGCATGGAGCTTGTTGAACCCTCTTCCCAAACAGGGAAACTGAGGCTCAGGAAAGAAGTGACTGATCCAGTGTCACCGCCTGAGCTAGACACTTCCCACCGTCCTCCACCCTGGTCCCTAGTCACACCAAAGCCACACCTCTGGAGTCCGTCTGGACCCTGTCTGGACTGCCAGCCCCAGCACGGAGCCCCAAGCCCAGTCTGTGTTTAGCAATAGAGTCCATCGAATGAATGAATGTCACGGACCCAAGTGAGAATGAGATGGAAACGATGGTCATCCTCCCCAAGAAAAGCGCACATGTGGACATACACGTGATCATACGCACATTCGATGGGTTCACAGACCCCTGACCAGGACGCCCTGACCTAGGTCTCTGTGGCCCTGGATCACTGGTGTGGCCTCTCTGAGCTATCCAGGGACGACCTCACCACACCCCACATCTGCTGGGTGAAAAGGGGTTCCCAGCTGGGCTTCCACCAGGGGACCACAGAGCACTCCCCACCACCACATCTCAGCCCGTGGTCACTGCTGTTATAACCACTAAAACCAGGAACTGCCAAACCAACCACGCTCCCACATGGCCCCAGGCCGCTCCCTGCAAGTGCTCTTTGTATTTCAAAAAGAGAACCTTTATTACTTATTCTTTTCCTCATTAGAACAACTTTAACAGCAACACAAAGTAAAGCATAAGACTTATCTGCAGACACACTGGAGCATACCCAAAGGCTTATCAGCCAAAGACCACTGTGAAGCTCAAGTCTCTCTCTCTCTCTCTCTCTCTCACACACACACACACACACACACACACACACACACACTCTCTCTCTCTCTCTCTCTCTCAAGCATGGCCTCTCTTGGGGCTCCCAGATCCTCCTGCCAGGGACAGCTTGTCAGGCCCAACACGTGCTGCCGCGTAACAAATCCAGGGGCCAATACCAAGGAGGTCTGGGGTGGGCAGCAAGGTGCAAGAGCTGGGCAGGGAAAGAAATGACCCCATATTCTTATAGACTCTACAAGTGCCACCCCACTCCTTGCCCAGGCCCTTCTGTCTTTGTGCTGATTCAAGTGCTTGGACAAGCAGATTCTGAGAAATGGTGTGTGTGTCTCCTGGGCTGGTGAAACCTGCTCGAACTGTGATCAGTGACTTGAGCTTAGCAAAGCCAGGCCTGGGAGGCACCTCTGGGTGGAGAAGACTCTGGCAGCTCTGATGGGCGCCCTGAGGGGTGACGTGGGGGGGGGGGGGGGGGGAGGAAGGGAGACTGAGGACAGACTGCTGCTGACATGTCCCGACCCAGGGGTGAGAGTCAGGAAGAGGGTGACGCTTCCAGAGTTTGGTTTTGTTTCACCCTCCAAATTAGCATCAGTACTTCCATTTGCACGGAAGTCGGCAGCCAGACAGCTAGCAGGGCACAGAGGCTCAAGCCAGTTCTGTGTGGAAAGGCACCAGATGGTTTGTTATGAAACACATTTTGGTCAGAAAATAGCTGGGCTTTTTGGTTCCTGGGAGGGCAACAAAACCAGAAAGGAGGTGCAAGCTGGGAGAAGGGAGGGTGAGAAGGCAACTTTGGCATGGGATCTGGTTCTAGTGTGCGCTCCACCCCTTCCACGTTTGGGGCCCATTTCCTTGCCTGTAAAACGGCGACCAGATAGTCCTGACCAAGTTTAGGTGTTGGGCTCCACGCATTGTCCCAGGGAGCATGGGGACTTGAGGCTCAGAGACACCCGCACAGACGAAACAGGAGAGTGGGCACACGCTCATCGACGGGGGGAGGGGCGGGGCGGGGGACGCCAACAGGGCAGTCACACAGAGATGATTTCCACTGTTGCAGTCAGACCCTGGGAACCTACGGGCAGCCAGACAGAAAGCTCTATGCCAACAGCACCATCGAGGAGCCCCCGGGGGCCACACCTGCCGTGTGTGCTTTAAAGTGCCAGCTACGCGTTGTCTTTGGTCAGGGGCTGCCCCTCTGTCTCTCAGGGCCCGGGGAGGGCCAGGGGCTCAGGCCCACACCTGCTGGGGCCCCGGCACAAGACTCGGGGCTCCCCTGAAGCCACAGGGCCCTCCTGTGCTCAAAAATGACAGCTTTCTGTAAGGTGTGGGGACGCCTCCAGGGAAATTTGGGTCCTTAGAAAAAGAGAAGGGACAAGAAATGCTTTGGTCACCGTCCTGATACCCACAGCAGAGCAGAGCTTTCTCAGGACAGGGCAGAAAGCTGGTTAAAACACTGCACTTGTGCCTGATGCAAAACTGGCTTCCGACGTGAACCAGGAGTCGCTGAATAAATATTCAAGGCATCCTTCAGTTCTTAGGATAAGAGTGTGGCAAAAAAAAAAAAAACCAAAAACCAACTTCTCCTTTCCCTCTGCTTGACCGGACGCGGCTTTGATTTGCAGGCCAACGGTGCTGCCAACCGGAATAGGGTGGTTGGGGGGCCCTGGAGCTGCCCCCCCCCCCCCCCCGCCGGCCACAAGAGGCTTTGGTCTGTCACGTGTCCCGCCAGCCCCGGGGACCTCAGAAGCTGAAGAGGTCATCCTGCTCGGCGCCGCTGCTGTCAGGCTTGTCCCAGTCGACAGGTGAGAGGCACTGGGCGTAATGGATGTCCTGTGCTGTCAATCCAGTGTCCAGGACCTGAGGGTTCGTCCGAGACTGGGCAAGCCTGGAAGGCAGAGCTGTGTGAGCCGAGGGTCCCCGAAGGGGCTGGCGGGGGCCTGAGCAGCCAGTCCAGGGTCAGAGTGAGAGGGCAGGGATGGGAGAAGGCCAGGACACCGGGGCCAGAAGGGAAACCCCAGGATGTCAGGAGAGGTGGAGCCTCTGACCAGAGTCTACCCTTGAGGGCTAACGGCTCAGAACACTGGGGGGCAGTGGCATTCCCGCCACGGAGAGAGGGGCTCCACACCCCCGGCTCCACCAGGAAAGGGCAGGGAAGGGCCGTGCTGGCGAGGTCAGTGAGGGGCATGTGCGGGACAGAGGCAGTTCGACTAGGAGACTACTGGCTAGAACTGTGTTCAATACAGTGCTGTTCAAAACACAGACTTAAAAAGGAAGAGAACCCAAACATCCAAAGAACAGGGGGGAGTTAAGTAAATTACGACTCAGGTCCTTAGAAGCAAGTGAGGGAGCAGTGAACAAATGAGGTGTTTACAAGGAGTTGTTAACAGCCTGGGGAAACACTCCTGGTATGTCAATGTTAGGTGAAAATCGGGATCCCCAAATGCAAATACCATGAGCTGATCAATGCCCCCACCCCCAAAAAAAAGAAAAAAGAAAAAGAAAAAAAAAGTGTATATGTATAGGATTAGCGTGAATTAAGCCCAAATGTCTGGGCTGTGGGATTATAGGATGGTGTTCCTTCCTGTTTAATGCTCTGCTGATTTTCGAAGTTGTTAATAAAGGGCACATGATACTTAAGTAATCTGGAAAAGGCGAACAGAAGATTTTCTTAAAATGAGGGGGTTGCAGTCAGTTAGTGAAGTTAGTGAAGCAGGGAGGACAGTGAAAAGAATGTCTGCCTCCACGAAAGGGCCAACCGTGCTGACCCCCCCTCTTCCCTGGGCTGCGCCGAGGGGTATCTCCCAGGCTCCAGCAGGAAGGGGCTGGGGAGGAAGCAGAGGGCTGCAGGGGGCTGCCCAGGGTCCCCAGGGAGACAGGGGGTCCTGACTGCCCAGGCCCAGTGCTCAGAACCCTGAGCTGCCCAGGCCTCTCTTCAGCTCAGCCTTCTCAGTGCCATGTCCCCAAGCTGAAGGTAGTCATGGCTACAGGGAGGGCCCCTGGGAAGATGGGGAAATGCCACCACCCTCAGGCAAGACCAAAATACCTCCTTGCTGTGCCTGACATCCCTCCTCTGTGTATCGCTCTACGGGCTTAATTAAGCATTGCCCCCTCCCTGCCCCTTTCCACAACTGCAGAACCTCTGGAGGGAACAAAGCCTGCAAAAAGCCAGGTTCTGAAGGCTACACCAGGTGCAGGGCAAGGAAATCAGCCTGAGCTGCGGAGTGTTCAGTTCAGCTCAGGCTGTGGTAGAGAAGCCACGAGGAATAGCTTTTGATTCAATAGCAGGGGCTTTTTTAGCAGACACAGGCAACCCCGGATAGTGAGTTCCCCATCCCTGGAAGTATCCGAGTTGAGATTTTTGCTCTGGAGAAGATCAGAGTTCATGTACTCAGACAGGCAAAGGACCCCGGAGAGCAGCCCACACCTCCTTCCCCAGCATGAGGAGCCCAGCTAACGTTACCTCGAAAATGCTTCATCCAGGCCGTCATCCAGCTCCTTGGGGAAAACAAAGCAGGAGATATGAACCCTCAGTGGGGGAGCACATGCTCACAGCCAGGGTGTCCCAGCCCTGGATAAGCCACAGGGACTCTGGACACAAGCATAGGGGTCTGGCGGGTGCCTGGGGAAAGAGGCACAGGCAGACCGCCACCTGGCGACTGCCACGTGCATCTCAACCCGGGGACTCAAACCTGGGATGCGGAACAGGAAAAAGAGCACAATTGGGTGGGTACAATTCCCAGCTCTGCCACTAGTCGAGTGACACCTTGGGCAAGTCGCAGCTCCTCTTTGGGCCTCAGCTTTTCCTTCCGTAGAATGAGTGGGTTGGATTGGATGAGGTCTATGGCTTTCAAGTTCCAAGAGCAAGCGGGTAGGGAAGACAGTGTTCTTGCTTTCATCCACTCCCAAAAGCCATGTCAGAATTCCAAGCTCATGATTAAATGATGGCGGGAATCCCAGAACCCAGGTGGGAAAACACTGGCAAGGGCCCCCTGCAGCCTTCCTGAGTGGATGGGTGGGTGCCAAGGGTGGATCCCAGGCAGCAGAGAACAGGTTCGCGGCGCCTACAGGTGGCCCCCAACAGGGACCAGGATATGAGTTTTCAAGTCTGCCAACGTTCCAGATTCTTTAAAATTAAACAGACATGACAAAATAACGATTCCGCAATGGATTCTAGACGAGGAAAAGGACACGGGGAGGCGGTGGGGGGGGGGGGGGGGCACACGTGGAGAAATGTGACTATGGCCTGTAGATTACATAACAGTATCAGATTGATGTTAATGATTTCGATCACTGTAACTCAGTGATGTTAGATGCTGACATTTGGAGAATTTGGATGAAGGGTGAACAGGAATGTTTTGTACTGTTTTTACAACTTTTTGTAGTTCTAAAATTATTTTCAGATGAAAAAAAATTTTAACTTTTGATAAAAAAAAAAAAACAAAAAAACAACCCAGGTTCCTCTGGGAGACTCTGCAGGCAGAGGTCATCATCTTTATTGAAGGGATGAAAAAGCTGAGACACAGAGAGTTCAGGGGGCTTGCCTGGAGTCACAGAGCGAGCCAGAGGCCAACTGCTGACCGCCAGGCCTCAGACTCCTCCTTTAGATGGTGGGGCGGGGACGGGTGGCAGGAGCAAACTGTGCCCACACCAAGAACAAGGGAGCCTTTAGCTGGTCCTGTGGTGGGCCGACTATGGACGCTCAGACCAAGAGGCTGGCCATTGTGAGGAGACAGCTGTGCTGGGAGCCAAGCCTGCTGGGGAGGCAGCCCCGAGTTCAAAGGGGACATTGTTTGCCCCCCACCCTGGGCCTGGGCGCTGCTGGGCTGGGTCTGGCCCTCCCAGAGGACTGAAGTCATGCGTGCCAGGGCCCAGGTCCTGGAGCAGCCTTAGGCCTCAACCAGGATCAGGCTGAGGCTCGCTGTGAGATCCCTATGGGGTCCCCAGGCCACATGACCACTCACCCAGACAACGCTGCTATTGTTCAAGGCTTGAGGCCTCGGTGCCTCATCCATGTTAGTGGTATTAGCGCTGACTGTGGACAGCGGGGCCTTGGCCGTCTCTTCCAAGTCCAGCAGGTTCCCAGTGGCGACCACTAGGAGGGGTCCAGTCAGGTGTGTCAGTGGGAGGAACCGCCTGTTTCCAAGCCCCATCTCCCAGCCCGATCCTGGAGCCTCCTGGGCTGTTGTGGTCTTGACTCCCTCCTCAGGCATGGCCTTCCCAGGCCCATCAAGCAGACCACCCAGAGCCCCACCTGGGCACCTCCCGAAGCAGCTGGACGGTGAGAACCTCTACCCAACTAACATTTTAGGTTGAAACTTTTACATTTGGAACAGGTGTTAAGTTTTGTTAAGCGATCACATAATAAGATGTTAAATGTATACAGAGAGATGTATACATACATTTATATAGCTGCACAGGAACATATTTGCAAGAACATGCACCAAAATGAGCAATCTTCCCTTCTAACCACATGTTCTAATTTATCTGTAATGAACATGTATTATTTATTTAACAATAAAACACAAATAAAAAACCAAGGGTTTGCCCCAGCCCAGGAGGGAGGGGGGCCCTCAGGATGAAGGGCAGACCCAGAGACATGCACCTGATTCTGGTCCCACCCCCTGCCCAGGACTCACAGCTCTTCAACGATGGGGTGTTGTCACGGAGGCCCCCACCCAGGATGTCCCCTCCTTCTTGGCTGGCTTTCTCCCTCTTCTCCTTCTCTGTGGGACCAAGGCACAGGGCGTTGGAGCCCCACTCCCAGCACTCGCTGGGCAGGGGAGGTCTGCTGCCACTCTCAGGCGGCAGGCATTAGATCTCCAGCAGAGAGGAGAGAAACTCTGTAGACTTAATCCTCACAATCACCCTGGGGGCGGGGGGGGGGGGGGAGCTGTTCCCACTTCTTCACGGGGGAACGGGGACTCACAGAGGTGAAGGGACCTGTCCAAAGTCACCAACCAGGCAGCTGATGAAGTGGAGAGTCAGGCCTGGACTCCGGGGACTTTACCACCCACCCCACCCCCTCCCCCCTCCCGCCAACTCCTCTCTACTCTGTCAGCTTCCCCAGCTCCACCCCCACCCACCACAGTGTCCCTGAACAAGGCTCACCTTCCTTGGACACCTGCCAAAACTCAAAGGCAACTTTGAAGGCCTGGGCTACTGTGAGGGTGACAGCCTGGGCCTGAAAAACAGGAAGCAGGGTGGGGGATGGGTACAGGTCAGGCAGGTAACAGCAAGTGAGAAATGCAGGCCCGGAGGCTGAGGCTCCGCTCCTTCAAGGCTCTGAACTTCCAGACAGGCAAAAGCAGAGTCCTGGCCCCGCCCAGGTCACCAAAGCAGCCTGGGGTGTAATGAGGCCAGAACCACTCCAGGCAGCTGGGGGCCCCAGGTTCAGCACCTGTAGCCCAGCCACGGCTCCCACCTCTATTCCATTCCCAGCCTTTGCAATGACTGCTCACCTCCACCTTTTCCCCTTCCCTTTGGGCTTCCCTATATTCAATTAACTAGGAGGCTTACTTCCTCCAAGAGCTCTCCCTAATTACCTGAGGACTTCACACAGAAACTGAGTCCTTGAAATTAGAGAACAGAAAAGCCAGAACTGGAAAGGGCCCAGTCACTGCCTGAATGAGCCACAGTCAGAAGCAAAGGTTACACTCTGGTTAGCCCTATGCTGGGTTGGAGGGACTTACAACTGGATCCCAAAAAAGGGAGGAGGAGGCTTGTACATTGCCTGACAGGAGCAAAATGTCAATGTGTACCTGTGTCAGGGTACCAAAACCATTCAGCGCCATATACCTGTAAGAGGGGGCCACATCTTGGCCTTTCACCCCTGAGGAACTCCCATCCACCCCTTCAAACCCGACTCAGACGTCACCAGCTCTCTCAGGTCACCAGCACTGGTGCCCCACAGCTCCACCTACCTTTCTCTGGCATCATGCATACGGAAGTGTCACCAGTTCACATGCCTGTGTCACCCTATCCGGGCCGCTGCCCAAAGGCAAGAATCTAAACACCCCTGATCCCCAGAGCAGGCCAAAGCCCTCCAGAGGTGCAATAGGCTGGCTGCACTCCATCTGCCCAAGGGGCAGGCCTCCTGAGGCCTCGCTTGGCCAGGACCTGCCCCAGCCCACATTCATCTCAGCCCCTTCCTCTCTCTGCTTCCAGTTCAGGGTTAATCACAGTCCGGCTTCTGGGAGCGGGAGTCCCAGAGCTCAGCTGTAGCCGGAAGCGGCATCTAGTTTCTGTCTGACAGCCTGGGCCTAGGGAAGAAAGCACCAGATTCTTTCAAGTGCACAAGTTCAGGCCTAACCAGTCTCAGACCCACTCTCATACCATCCACCAGACAACTTGGTTTAATTGAGAAATGAAGCTGTGGCTACTGCCTTCAAAACGCTTTTTTTTTTTTTTTAATTTAAAATCCTTAAACAAGCTGACTGATCCATGCCAATTAAACTTCACGAAGTATAAAATCTCATTTGAATGTCTCCGTCATTTACATTTTTGATGGAAGTACTGGCGCTTTATGGCAAAAACCTAAATATGGTAATTAAGTATGAAACTCTTCACAGCTGTTTACAATTTAAGCTGTCACGTCTGAATCAAGTTTAATAGACCCAGTTACCATTGAGAATTGCCCATGAACTAAAAATATGGGCTGATTAGCAGCCGGAGTCAAATCACTATACACCCAAGAAAGGGCTGGTCACCTAAGGTGGCAGGGAGATGGAAACACCGCGATTTTTTTGCCTCTAGGATACCTGCGGGCACAAACCTGATACTGTTTTTGCATAAATCAACTTGTTCATTTGCATACATCCCCGCCCTTTTGCCCCGAAATCCCGAGCTGTAAGTAAACCAAATATAACCCGAGATGCACATGTGTGCAGGTGGCTGCAAGCCCGGGCTGGGCAGGGACTGGGAGCGGGGTGGGCCCGGCTCTCTGGGATAGCATTACAAGAAAGGACTGCTAGGGCCTGCCCACCCTCCCAACCCCCGGGAGGCCTGTCTTCCCTCACTCCACAGGCTGCGAGCCCAGCCCTCCTCAGAATGCCTCTGGCCTGTGGCGTTCTTCTCACCAGGACTGGGTTCTAACACCCAGTGTTTCATGTCCCTGTCTCGTTCCCAGTAACCAGGCTGTTAGCTCCTTCAAGGGGCCAGGTCTATCTAGCTCAGGACCCCCCAGGATCCCAGATCCTAGCTTGGTACTCCCACCAAGTCGGGCCACGTGTCCCTTATGGCCCTGCTGCCCCAGAAGCATAAATCCTGCACAAAAGGATTACCCGAGGCATGCCAGTGCCCACGTGAGGGAGAGCAGCTCTGCCCCCCGCCTGCTGGGGATAGAATCAGGGGGTGTCACCTTGCTTGCTGTCAGTCCACCTGCACTGTATTCCTGGGCCCCCCACTGAAGCCCTAACCCCACCTTCACTTCAGAACCCAGAGGCAGGCTGCAGTGCTGGCCGAGGCCTCCCAGCTGGGCAGATGGAAACATTTCCTTGTAGAGAAACTCATCCTGGCCGTGCCTAACAGCAGTCACCGGGAGAGGGAGGCCTGGTGGCATGCTGCCCGAGCTAAGCTGAACCGGTGGGTGACCCAGAAAGGAACCCCTTCCCCCGACCCCGGGTGGCCACAGCTTCTCACTCATGCCGGCAGCCAGGCGAGAAAGAGTGGGGAGGTGGAGACTGTGGGCCGCCGGCCAAAAGCAATGAGCTATGTCAGCATCCAAATTCAAGTTCCCCCGGGCGGGCTGCCTCTGCTTTGCCACACCCCAGCTCCAGTGACATGGGAATCCTCACCCACCAATCCCACCATTTAATTCTGCACCTGTCTTTGCACATGCTGCTTCCTGTGCTGGGGTGCACGCAGCCTTTCACCACCCGGACCCCCTTTGTCTTGGCCGGCAAACTCCCACTCATTACTCAGCTCTCAAAGCTCGATTCAAAATGTCTCCTGCTCTGGGAAGTCTTACGGACCTCCGGTGAGACTTAAGAACCTCCACCCTAGAGCCACGCCCCCCAGTTACTGAATCCTGGCTCTTCCCCCCCCACCATCTTGTTGGTGTCTCCATGGCCGATCCCCTGGGGCCCCAGTGCCCACCACAGGGCTCAGCCCCGGGCCAGGCAGCAGTGACGTCTGTGGAGTGACAAGTGACACTTGTCAGCAGGTGGGCTGCAGAACCTGAGGCCCTCGTTTCACCTCTGCCTCCTTCTCAGATGTGTCCACTAAGCCCTGAGAATCTCAGCATTTCCAACGTGGCCAGGCTCCTGCCAGCTTGCGCTCGGCTGGGGCCTCAGGAGGGGCACAAGAACACCGCGTCTGCATCAGGTGGCCCGTACACTGCCCTGGGCTGGGCGGGCTGAGGGGCTTCCCCGAGGCTCCCTGAAGGGGGAAGGCCAGCTGGGGAAGGATGGGTACGCTGTGATCGAGCCAGTCAGCCCCTGGCACAGAGGACAACGTGCCGGGGAAAGTGAAGAGCCTGGGCCCAGGCGGCCCGCAGGAGCCGTTCCCTCTGCCGGATCAGGGCGCTGTTGTCAGCACCAAGCAGCGGGTAAGGCTGTTTTCCTCAATAACTGACCTCTTGGCCTGGGGCAGGGTGATTTTGTTCAGGCCTGTCTAAAGTCCTCTGGCCTGAGGGCAGGCCTCCCTTGAGCCGCTGGGCCAGCATCCGCTTTCTTTTGCCTCCGACCTTCCCTTCCCAGAGGAAGCCTCTGCAGCTCAGAGCCCCTCCACACCAGGGTCCACATTCTGCAGCAGTGGCCGTGGGCCAGCTGCCCCAGCCCAGCGCCTGCTCTGGTCAGTGGAGAGGAAGAGACAAACAATGGAGACGTAATGAGCCTGTATTTTTAAGTCAGTGTGGCCTCATAAGAGACAAAGCCAAGAGTCACTGTGACAACAAGGCTGTCATGGGAGAAGCCACTGTAGCTCAGGGACCTGGGGCATCACGAGGCCTCGGGTGAGTGTCTGGCGACACTGAGTCTGCAGGAAAGAAACAAGGTGCACAAAAGAAAGGGGCCTTTCAGAACAATCCTGGAGGTCACTGAGGTGACCTCTTCATTCTGCTGATGCGCGGGCAGTCCACAGAAGGGCAGGGTCTTATCCACAGTCACACAGCACATCAGCCAGGATCAGACCCCTAATTGGTCTTGTCCCATAGTGCTCCCTACACGAGACCTGTGAATCACAGCCCCAAAAGATGTCCATGTCTAATCCCTGGAACCTCTGAGTGCTACCTGGCACCACAAAAGGGACTTTACAGGTGTGACTGAGTGGAGGATTTTGAGATGGAGGGGGATTATCCTGGATTCCCTAGAGGGCCCAATCGCAAGGGGCCTTGTAAGAGGGAGGCAGGAGGGTCAGAGCTAGAAACGGCAATGTGACAATGGAAGCAGGAGGGAGACTGGAAGGGGCTTCACCGCTGGCTCTCAGGTTGGAGAAGGGGCCCGGAAGCAAGGAATGGTGGCCTCTAGAGACTAAAAAAGGCAAGGAAGTGTGTTCTTCCCTAGAGCCTCCAAAAGGAACACAACCCTGCCGACCCACTTAAGACTTCTGACCTCCAGAACTGTAGCAGAATAAATCCAGGTTGTTTTAAACCACTAAGTTTGTGATTTCTCACAACAGCAATAGGAAACTAATACTATACCTCAAGCAGGCCCTGATGCATAGCAGGAAGCCTGAGGGGCACTTAAAGACTGTGATGTCCTTGACAAGTCCTGGATGAGAGGGGTAGGGGAGAGGATCCCGTCTCCTTGGCTCCAAGGACCACTGGGCATGGGGACTGGGGCTCTGGACTCTGTACACAGAGGTCAACGGAGGCCAACACTCAACGAGCAAACGTCAGGAACCTCCTCACAGAGCAGATGCTCAGACCTCAGGGGCCTCCAAAACGAAAGCCCCAACACCAAAGGTGGACACAGCCTGGCTGCTTGTCCCAAAGTTCAAGACAAATGCCCAGAGACCACTGAGGCCCCACCCATCTCAGCCGGACACGGCCAGGGAGTAGCCTGGAAACTGGGGCAGGGAGCTCGTGGCTCCTCACGGTCGCGCCGGGAGGGGAAGAACATGGGTTTGAACCCTCACTCTGCCCAGCTGGCTGTGTCATCTTCAGCAACAGCTGACCTCTGTGAGTCTGCTTCCTCATTAAAGATAAAAACAATAAAGACAGTAACAGCCGCCACCTCACAGAGGGTTAAACAAAAAGATCCCTTAAAGCCTACCACTGAAAGACACACATCGTAGATGCGAAAAATAGCCATTTCCCTCCCCACTCTGGCTACAGCAAGCCAGGTCCCTTTGCCATTCCCGGGACCCTCTGATCACCATTCCCCAAGGACTAATTCCTACAAGACCCTGCACCCTCAGACCATACTACAGACCGCCCCCACCCAAATCTCAAATCCAATCACTCATGTTACAGAGAGGAAGGTGCCAGGGCACTCACTGGGGACACGGGCCTGTCGCCACCCACAGGCCAGGCTGACCGCCTAGGGCAGCCCACTCTGACAGGGCTGTGGCCTTACTCAGTGCTCTCAGCATCGTCTTGGGGTCCCCGGGGATTTCATACTTCCTGTTAAGTGATGCTATCTTTGGGTCCTGCCTCCCCTACCACACAGAGCCCCCAAGGGCAGGGTTGCCAAGGCAAAGCCTGCCTAGGCCCAGCCTCTCCGCACTGACCATTTTCCGCTTGGTGCAGAGGAAGGCATGGCACTCGAGATTCTCGTTGTGCTGGCTCTGTGCGATGTACGCAAACACTTTGTCGTGCATCTTGTCTGCTGTGCAGTAGGAGATCCTGAAAGGCAAGTGGGAAGTGTCACCAAACCCCGGCATGGGGCCTGACCACATCTGGGATGCCCCATAGGGCATCTCCTCTGAGTCCCCCAGAGCCTCCTATCCCACTCCCTGAAGGTAAAACTCAGGAGATGTGGCCTTGATCTCTGGGCCTGGCATTCTGGGTCATTGATGGCATGGGGGGGGGGGGGGGCGGCCACCCAGGCTAGGCACAAAGGAGCGGAAGGAAAGACTGAGGGCACCTCCCCCCGCTGCCTCCCACTGAGCCACACCTCAAAATGGTAATAGCTAAGCCCTTCTTTCTAGATATCACTTCATTTAATTCTCAGAGCTGCCCGAGATGGGCTCCATTATTATTCCCACTTTTCAGATGAGAAAACTGAAGCTTACGGTCTCAGACCACCAAGCTAGTGGCAGAGCTGAGATGTGCGTTCACCTGAGGATTCCAGAGGCTGGAATCCTTCAGGGCTTGAGCTGACTAGACAGGGAAGGGGAAGCTGGACACTTCCCCGCCCACTGATGCCCTGCACCAGGCCTCCTCTCCTGCCCAGAGGTCGGAGGAGTTCTAGGTCCTCTCTCCCAGGGTGACTGAGACTGCTGGCAAATTCTCCCAGAGCTGTGAGCAGAGGCGGAGGAGCTGGGAGTAGCATGAGGGTGTGTGAAGACGGCCAGACCAGGAGCCCCATTGGGTCCAGGAGGAACACAGAGCAGCTCCCTCCTCTTGGAAAACCTGCCCCCCTAATGCCCCTCCCCCCCCCCCCGCCCCCAGTCTGCTGCCTCCCTGCTGGCTGCTCATCCTGAGAATCTCAATCTGAGAGGAACTGGCAGCCCAGAGGTGGGACAGGAGCTCAGCAGACTCTTTCCCCAGTGTGGCCCCAGCTTTAATCAGACATGGACACGGGGATCAGCACCATTAAGACCCCCAGGCCAGCAGCTCCCTCTTCTTTATCTCAGGGGATCAAGCTTCCTGCCACCTCCCCTGGGAGGCCTTCCCAGGTTTCCTCAGACAGGCCCCTTCTTCTCTGCCCTCTTGGGAAACACTCTAATCTCCTATTTCTTCCCCTCCATTCCCTCCTTGAGGGCAGGGGCTGAGGCCTCCCCTGGTTAAAGGAGGCAGGCAGAGTCAGAAAGGTGAGAGGAAGACACCAGCCAGAAACTCTAAAGCCACACCCTCCAACACACCCCCACCCTCAACGCCCCCAACACTGCTTATGTTCCAGCGGATGGAACCACCTGCTTGGAAACAAAGCAAGAGGGTGGAGGAATGCCTGGCAGCTGGGTGCCTGCCGGACAGAGCTCCAGCCTCGGTGCTCCCGGCTCAGCTACTACCTCACCGTGGGGGCCTGGGCAATTCCCTGGGCCTCAGCTTCTCCATCTATAAAATGGACTGTCCCTTCCAGCGCTGAAATCCTACAACTGATCAGCCAAGAGAGGGAGTGGGAAGAGCTTGAGGTTCCAAGGGCTAGGCTCTGTCTCCTTGAGAATGGCCACCCCCCCGCCCCCATACCATTTATACTCTGGCCTTAGACTCTGCCTTGAGGCCTCCCTGAATGCCTGGCCAGATGTCCAGAGCTGAGCTGCTATATTCACAGCGGAAGGAAAAGGCAGCGACTCCGCAGCCCTCTGCTCCAAGCCTGACTCAGCAGCATGCTTGCGGAAGGGGAGTGGGGAGGAGGGTCCTAGCCCTGACTAGGCCTCAGCTGCCCGCTGCAACTAGCAATAATGACAACAGCAGCTGCCTTTTAACCAAGCACCCACTGTGAGCCAGGGGCTGTGTACTCAGCACTTCCTAACAGCACTGGGAGGTGGGATCTGGCTCCTCCCCCACATACACACAAGGAAACTGAGGCTCCAAGTTCACCCAGACAGGAAGTGCTGGTGCATGGATTCAGGAAGGGCACCCCACCCACCGCCCCAAGGCACAGAGCGAGGGTGGCCAATGCTGAGCATACCTGTAAATGGACACGTTCTCAATGAGCTGGTTGGTGATGTTGTCGGTCAGGATAATCCCCCGTGGTGACACCTTGAGAGTCACTTTCTGCAGCTTCTTCCCGCTGGCCTTTGCCTTGGGGCAGACATGGGTCAGAGAAGCCTGCCTGCCTCACTTGGGAGCTGCTCTCATGGGCTACACCTAGCTGGTCTAAGTCCCAGACCTGAGGCCCATGTGAGGTCTCAGAGACGGCAGACAAACCGGGGAAGACATTAGTCAACAATGCTCTCTTCTAATAAACACAGGGACAACTGCTGTTCATTAAGTACCCACTGTCTGCCAGACACTGGAACTTGAGTCATCTTATAGGCAACAGAGCTCCTCCCGAGGAGGAAATAAATGAACTCAGAGAGGTCAAGGGACCTGCCCAAGGACACACAGCTAGGAGGGACTTCAGGCTCTGAGTGCTGAGTGGGCTATCTCAACCCAGCAGGATCACTCCTGGGGACTCTCCACTCTACCCACTGCACCTGTGAGGGTCTGAGCTGAGGGGTCTGAGACCACCAAGGGAAGAGCATTTCTAGGCCACATTTACTCAGGAGGGGGAGTAAGGGAGTGGGGAGATCTGGTCTCTGGTGGGCTACCCTGTCCCTCAGGCCACAGGGCAAGTGGTTGGGTGACAGCAACCTCCCCACTACTCCCTGCACTAAGTCACTAACCCTTAGGCAGGGGACCCGAGTTGGGGGGAGGGGAGACTAGGAGGGGCCATGGCCACAACAACGGGAGAGGAGGACACTGACCCTGACCCCACAAGCCCAGTGGCTCCTGTCTACCAGAGTCCCTAGGCCAGATGCAAGGGGACTCAGGGCAAGAACAGCTCAGACGCATCCAATCAGGGGAATGAGCAGGGGATGAGTGGCACCCCAGGAAGAAGCTGGCCCTTGGCTCACGGCTCCCCCACCCTGATCGGGGCTCACCGTGGCCACAATCCTCTTGACGGCAGCAGCCGACAGCTCCTCGCCCTTGGGCTGCTCCACCAGCGTCATGCCCAGGTACTTGAGGCTGAAGAGCATCCCCTCAAGCAGCGTCTCCCGAGTGTCCGTCCAGTTCTCTGGCAGCTCTGGGCAGGACGGGGACAGGCCTCAGACCCTGTCCTTCCGGCCCACATTTCCTAGGAAGACCTAGCAAGGCGCACTGGGGTCGTCCATCTATCATTACTTTTTTTATCTATAATAAAGGAATAACCCACCAAGCACCATGGCAAGAAGTCTTACGTAAAATATTCTCATTAATCCTTAGGACAACCTATGAGGTAGGACGCTTTTATCATACCCACTTACAAAGACACTGAGGCCCAGGGAGGTGAAATCACCCAACCAAGTCCACTGAGCCAGCAAGTACAAGAGCCAAAATCGGAACCCGTATTTTCAAGTTCAAACTCTTTAACACAAACTTGCTGAGAGCAAACTATGCTATTTTCTTCCTGAATCTTTCATACAATCCTGTGAGATGGATTTTATCCTCACCTTACAGATTAGGAAACTGAGGCTCAGAGAGGCAAAGTCATCAGACAAAGTCCACGTGCAGTGAGTAAAGGGCTGGAGTCAGAACAGAATTCAAACCTGGGCGGTTCCATGGCCCCAGCCTGCTCTGCATAGCCGTAGAGAGGAAGAGAGGTGCGGTTGTGGTGGGGAGGGGGTGGTTTCTCAAATGACATCGTATGAAGGCTGCCTGAATCAGCAAACCTGGGTTCAAGTCTAGAGCAGGGCTCTAGAGGGGTCCTCTGAAAACTCTACCCACAACTGAGGTCAGGAAGGTTGGAAAAGGCCAGCTCACTGGGTAGGGGAACAGACTGGGAGAGAGAACTGGAAAAGCCCCTACATAGCCCTACTCATGTGAGAGAGGACCCTGGTCAGACAGAGGAACAGGAGGGCAAGTGTGGTCTTCATGAGTGGTTTGAACCATCCCCAGGGTTCTTCCTTAGCAGCTCAGGCCCAGAGGCACCAGATCACTCAGCAGGGAAGTAATGAGGACCGAAGAGGAAGGAGGTTTCTAGGAATCCTTCCAAGCCCAATCAGCAGGACAAATGAACACTCCACGATCCTGTCAGTCAGCATCTCTGATGCTGCAATGGAGGAGGTATTATGATTTTACCCATTTTACAAATGAGAAAACTGTGGGCTCTTCAGCTCACACACAATCTAGGACAGGGCAGGATCCAGATAGGAATCAGTTTCCAGGGTCCACCACAGAGATGGCCAGGGCCAGCTTCTCTGGACTACTTTTTGGGAGAGGAGCTAGGACAATCCTGTGCCCTCCCCGCTCTTCCGGGGGCCCTCAGGGGCTCTGAAGGAAGAGCCATACATAGGAAGAAAGCTCAGGACTGGGCATCGCTGGTGCCAGGGCAGTGGGCCCCACCTACAAAGCACAGCAGTTCCAGGGTTCCTGTGCTACTGGGCCCAGCTGGAAGCACTGGGTCCTCTACCCTGTCTGGGCCCATGCTGCTCCTTACAACAACCGTCCTGGAGTTCTAGTCCTCCAGGGGCTCTGCCTCCTTCTCCACCAGCCAGAAGGAGCCTTGTATACCCATATCTCTCTGGGTTTGATTTAAGCAGGCCACTGTCCCTTTCCGAGACTGCTTCCTCATGAAAAAGAATCCATGTGTGTTGAGGGAGGGTACAGGTATACCCAGTCCCCCTATTTGAGACCCAGGTGAGCAGGGACTTGCTGACTGGTCATCCAGAGCCTGGCATGCAGCTGGCACTCCGTATTTGCTGAGCGAAGAAATGACCTGGGCAACTCCAAGTCTTCTTTCAGGCCTGCAGGGCCACCCTCAGCTCTGGGCCCTGGCCCACTGCCCTCCAACCTGTGCACTTGGGCCACCACCCCAACACGAGGCCCAGTCCCTGCTGAGAAGCCCCCAAAGTGACCTTATCCTCTGCGGTATCAACCATGAAGCCTATTTCATTTGATCTTCCAAAAAAGAATCAGAAAGTCCCTGAGGTGTCCCAGTCCTGCGTTGGGTGACGGGGGCCCCGGAGCAACTCAGACCCGAGCCTTGTTCTTAAAGAAACCAAGAAAACCACCACATCATCAGCGCAAAACAGAACTATCAAGTAACACAGACAACAATAACAAAGCAGCTCTTACCATTACTTCTAACATTCACAGCTGCCTTGCAAGCAGGCATTCTTTCATTCCGGTTTCACAGAGGAAAGGGAGGCTCAAAGGACGAGTAATTTGTCACAATGGTTGACTCTCAAGTTCAAGCTCCTGACCATTAGCCGATACTAACTTCCCATGAGGCAAACTACCTTCATTTTAGCAAAAGGTTAGGAGGAAGTTCCTAGAGAGCCAGAGATATTTCCTCCCACAATTCCTAATTCCTTAGGCTTCCTCTCTGTAGGTACTCAGAACAGCACTTTCAACCCAACATGCATCTAAGCAAGAACGGCAAACTACATGTCGCCATGCCTATCACTAGTGTCCTTGGCAGACATTGCCAATCAATCGCAGCTCTATTCCCTCTGATTTACAGGCTTTGGACTGTTTCTCAATACAAGGCTCCAGGCAGGCAACACTAATCAATCAGGGGTGGCCTTGTTCATCTGCCTATCCACCCCTGCTCTACAGCAAACATCCTTGCTCCCCCCATTCTTATGTCCCTACTCTCCCATTTCCTCAGGCTCAGCCTTTCCTGGCCCCTCTCCAAAGCCACTTCCGCTCCTTCCATTCCAAAGGGCCAAAGCTTGCCAAGGTCACCGATGACCTTTTTGCTGTCAAAATATTCCCCAGTCCTCCCTGACCTCTGAAATGTTTGTCATAGTCTGCATTCTTCCTTCCCTGGCCTGACCCTTCCCCTATTCTACGGCCTCCTGCATGAGGAGGGCCCCGGTAGACTGGTTGCCACTCATCAGCCATGGAGACCCTTTGCCAGAACTCCTCACATGACAGATGATGAAGCTGAGGCCCAGAGAGGGATGGGACTTGTGCAAGATCACACAGCAAGTCAGAGCTTTCTCCCCCTGCACCCCCACCCCCACCCCAAGCTCCTAATCTACTACAGGCAATTCTCACAATGACTACTGGGGAATGGCAGTCTCCTCTCCCACAATATCCCTGCGTGCACAGACAGGCACATGCACACCCAACACAGAACACACACACGGAAGCTCCAACCATGTAGAACTTCTTCCTCCTGATGTAACATTTACTTTCCCACTCCTACGCCTTTGCTCAAGTTCCTTCTACCAGAAATGCCTTTCCCTTCGTTTGATTGAAACCCCTTGCATCCACCCTCATCCAGAAGCCTTCCTTAAGGGCAAAGGCCTTAATCCTAGAATCCCAGTTCTGACATTGAGTGATCTTGAACGAATCAACTCCCTTCCCTGAGCCTCAGTTCTCTCATCCATACAATGGGGGTAACAACAGGGCTGCTGTTTCCACCCTCTGGTGAAATAATAATGAAATTATTAAATCTAATGTGCTTAGCAGAGGGCCTGCCCATGGTCATACCTCCTGATGGGGCCTCATCCCTCCTGTCAGTGGGTTGCCTGTGCCTCTCTCGAGCGTGGACTTCCTTCTCCTCCTCCTACAGCCACATCACCCATAGCCAGCAGCTGTCTTCCATCTGCCTTCTTGAAAGACTTCCAGTCATGTCTGTCTCCCTCAGCAACTGGAAACGGTGAACTCCTGGCTAATGTTACTTGCTCTGCTTCGTCTTTGTCCCCGTTCCCATTACGCTGCCCTCCCAGGCCCAGCAAGATCCTCCTTCCCCTCTAAGGAGGGAACCCTGCTTCGGCTCATGTACTTCTTCTTTTTTTTGAATGTTTATTTTTGAGAGAGAGACACACAGAGCAAAAGCGGGGAAGGGGCAGTGAGACAGGGAGACACAGAATCAGAAGCAGGTTCCAGGCTCTGAGCTGTCAGCGCAGAGCCCGACGCGGGGCTTGAACTCATGAACCACGAGATCATGACCTGAGCTGAAGTCTGACGTTCAACCCACTGAGCCACCCAGGCGCCCCCTAGGCTCCTGTCCTTCTAGGTATGACTCATCTTTTCAATATAAGGTCTCCCACACCCTCCCTGAAGAAACCAACACGTAAGAGCACTGGATAAAACAAACACAGAGTTCATGCCTGCTCACCATCCAGAGACTAGAGGCCACATGCTCCTCCCTAGGAAGAGCCTGGGACTTCAGGAAGAACTCCCAGAGGCCCCTGGGCAAATACAGGCCTGAGTCCACAGCCCTGTTCCGGTCCTGGTTATTTTTGGCCCTGTGGTGGGTAATGACTGTGCTATTTTAACTTAGCAATTTTACAGATGACCCTGCTGTCAGAGTTGGCTGGGGATGGACCATATGCCCAGTTTTACTTGTGGCTGCAAACGTGTGCTCTTTCCTCATTAAGGTCCCCTGCCCAGGATTCAGAGCTGGGTGAGGGGACCCTGTGCCCCTTTTGCTGCCCAGGAGACCCAGCCTGGCTGGTGTCTGGAACATCAGAGTTACAGCCAAACCCAGGGGCCATGGGGAAATCTCGAAGGGCCTTGGCCTCCAGCCTCCTCCAGCCTGGTGGGGAGATGGCCTCAGAAGCCACAGAGTGACATCTCAGAAGGGGACTCAAGCTCTGCCATGACCTGGAATGCGGTTGCTTCTCTAGGCCATAGCCTTCTTGTCTGACAAATGGGTTCAGTCCCTCAAGAGCATCATTCAGAAACGGGTTCAGCATGTAAAAAGTGCCAGGCAAATTTCAGAAGTTGTTAAGATTATCCAAAGAAAAGTATTAAATGATAATGGCACAAGCTCTCACTTCCTAGGCACCTCCTTAGTCTGTAAGAGAAAAGCATGCTGTCAAGGTTAAAACCATGGGGTCTGGAGATGGGCTGTGGGCTTCAGTCACGCCACCTCCCTGGTCCTCAGTTTCCTCACTTAAAAACTGGGACAAGAAGCATGTCCACCCCGTGGGGTTGCTGTGAGGATGAAATGAGTTCACATGCCAGGTGGGCTTAGAATCATGCTTGGTACACACTGAGGGCCACTAAAGTGTGAGCACTGTCATCACCACGGGTCAAGTGCAAAGAGCTTGGATGTGCACATAGCCACCTGCAGTATTTTGTGAGGAGAGGCAAGGATATGCAGGACTCCCACTTCACAGATAAAGCAGCTCTGAGGAGTCTGGCCATGACTCATAATTGACAGAGCTGGTCTTGGCCTCCCACAGTGCTGTCCACCCACTCCTGCAGCCCACCAAGCCCTTCCCCGGGCCATGCAGAGGTCAGAGGGTGGGCATCGTGTCCTGCACAGCTGCCTGGACAGAGTGCCCTTCAGTGGGCAGGGGTGACCTGACTCCTGCAAGGCACACGTCCCTCCCTCGGCCACCAGACCTGTGAGAAGCAGGGCCCCAGCCTCCAGTTAAATGTCCCCTGCCCCTGCTGTTCCCTCTGGCTGGAATGCTATCCCCAGATTCCTCCCTCCTGTATTCTCATGTGTGCTCCAAGTCACCGTCTTGGAGAGGCCACCCCTGTCTGCACTAACACTGTCAGGACCCCCCCTCTACCTCCTCCCTGGGTGCCCTTTCCACACATGTCACCCGACGTGCCACCTCTCTGCCTACGGCTCTCTCTGGCTCCTGGAGGTGCCAATGCCCACGCAGACTGGGGCATGAAGGGCTTCCAGCCCCAGCACCCTGTGCCCACCCCTGCCGGGAACTGCCCCTCAGATGGAGTTCCCGAAGAGCACATTCTCCACTGCCTCCCAAAGCTCTCCACAGGATGGCACTCCAGTCACTCACGCTGGTGACTTGTCCACTTTTTGGACTCTCTTCTCACTTCTCCTAAAGGTATTTCTTGAGATCTCTTCCCAGATAGATGGCTCGCACTCAGATCCTTCTCTCAGCATCTGCTTTCTAGAAGAAGCGGAGTGGTCATACCAGTCTATGGAAGCTGTCCCCATCTCCGCAGTTCCTCGATCTTTCTTCATAGCACCACCACAACTTATGACCATACCTTTCGTTTGCACCCTGGTCATTCTGTCTGCCTCCTCCAACAGACGGCAGCACAATGGGCCGACAGACTGGCTTATTCACCGGACTCCCCAGTACCTATCAGTGCATGACACATAGTCTGTGACCAATAAGTAATATGACTAGGGGGGTTATTTATAATATCTTTTATTGTAAATATTACAAGTAAGTACAAACAGATCTTCTGTCCCCCACATACTACCATAAACTAGCTTTACTGCAAACTGTGCCGCGTTTGGAGTTCTCTGACAGCTTGGCACAACCCATGAAGAAGCAAGTCTGAGGGTCAGAGGATCTCTCTTGGAAAAAAGGGTATTGTGTGGCCAGGATAAGCCACCTTTCCAGGCAGCTGGAAGAAAGGAAAATCCCTGGCCAGGGACTGAGATCAAATATTCAACGCTGCCGAAGAGATGGGAAAAAGGCCATGTGTGGGAGAAGGAGAGTTCTCCTTCAAACTCAGGACTAGTTGGGAGACAGAGGGCCATGAGGTTCACAGCAAAAAAAAAAAAAAAAAAAGCCTGGGGTTTTAGCTTGCTGTGACCTCAAGCAAACTGCCTCCCTTCTTTGGGCTTCAGTTTCTCCACAAATAAAACAATGATCATGCTAATCCCAGCTGAGGATCTTGAGGGGCAGGAGCAAGTCACAGCTGATAGCAGGTGTCAAGTCTATCCTTAATTCCACTGGCTTCAGTTTGGCCCCAAAAGTCAACCACAGGGCTCTGGCCTTGAGGGATGGGCCCAGGGCCTGTCTGGACCACCCCCCCCAGGCCAGGCTACCCCAGCACCTCCACCCCAGACACACCCCACGGCCTCCCTCTCTACCCTGTGGCCACCACTGTTCTCAGAGACTGTCAGCACAACCTGGGGTGGCACCTGCCCCAGGAGGCACAGTGATAAGACCCCTGGGCTGGGAAATTTGGAGGGCTGCCTCTAGGAAGCTGTGTTGGAGCCTGAGGCTCAGGTTTGTTTTTTTTTTTTTTTTTATCTCTGACAGGGGTGACGGGGGATGTCTGATAAGAATCCCTGCTCTATCACCTGACATGAGCGAATGAAATAACAGAAGCAAAAACACTGTGTAAAACATAAAGTGACGAAAGCAGTTGTTGTTATTTTATTGAATTCTTTTGCCATTCTGGGCAAGCACTATTTCATTTAAGACACACACACACACACACACACACACACACACACACACACACACACA